TTTATGTCCATATGTTTGACTCGTTTATTATTTGAAGGGTTCTTAATAATATTTATACACCCTTGATTGTCTTCGTGCACTCTGACTGAGTTGACTCTGATTTGAAAACCTGCCAACAGTTTTTCCAACCAAATCCCTTCCTGGATAGAACTGCAAAGGGATATTAATTCAGCCTCAGTACTCCATAGGGCAACACAATTTTGTTTTCTCGTACTCCAAGACACTGTGTTCCCAAATACTTGAAATAGGTATCCTGAAACAGATTTCCTGTCACTTATATCTCCCCCCCAGTCAGAGTCCACGAAGCAATCAAGCACCTGGTCTGTATTATGATTTTGATAAATTAATTCCAGGTTCATTGTTTCCTTTAAATATCTCGGAACTCGTTTTAAATAGACCAAAAGTTCATGCGTAGCTTTACCTTGAAATCTACTGAAATAATTTATGGCAAAACTTAAATCCGGGCGTGTTCCCAACATTAAATACATAATACATCCTACCATTTCCCTCACCTCTTTTACAATAACATTGGATTCTGGTTGAGCTGATAAATCTAGTTTCAATTGTGCATCTATTGGAGTAGAAATTGGTTTACATTCCAACATATTATATTTTTCCAACACCTTTAAGATATACTCTTTTTGACTCAATTTGATTTTTTGCTGTTTAGGATCAATCTCGATTTCTAATCCGAGGAAATGTTTCAATGTTCCTAAATCTACAATATCAAATTTCTTGATTAGCTCAGATTTATATCTTTCAATTAGTTCATGGCGAGAAGCACTTAAAATTATGTCATCAACAAAAATCAAAATAAAAATTAATCCTTCCCCACATTCTTTTGTGTATAAACAGAAATCGTTTTCAGATTGGATAAAACCCAGTTTCATTAAAAACTCATTGAACTCTGAATTCTAGACCTTTGCTGATTGCCTTAGCCCATATAATGCCTTATTCAATTTTAATACAAATCCACTCTTACATTTTACACCTTCAGGGGGATAAATGTACACATTTTCATTCAATTTTCCGTTCAGGAAGGCAGTTTTTACATCTAATTGAGCAAATTCATAACCATACTGGTTTCCTACGGCTAAAAGGGTTCGAATGGTAGCCATTCTAGCAACAGGAGAATATATTTCTTCATAGCAAAAACTGTCTTTCTGAGCAAACCCCGAGCTACTAAACGACTTTTGTATTTTTCATCTGCATGAGGTTTGTATGTAAAGACCCATTTTGTATCAATGATCTCGGCATTACTGGGTTTTGGCACCTCAGTCCATATTTTCTTTTTGTTAATTGATTCTAACTCCCGATTCACTGCCTGATACCATTCTTTCTTGTCCTCTCTAGAATCCAACTCAGAAAAATTTCTTGGAATATCATCGACTAAAGCAATGGCATTGTATGCAGAATAGAGTACAAAATCTTTAAGATGTGCTGGTAATTTTACCTCACGTTTGGGCAAAACCCCTGGGTTTATCTCTTTTTCGGGAGTTTCGAAATCGGAATCAGGTTCTTCTTTTGAGCTATTTAATTGAGAATCACTTTCCTCACTTGATTCACTTGAAGAATCACTTTCAGTTTCACTGATCTCATTTTCTTTAGTAAATGTATTCTTTTTATTATCTTTTTCTTTTAACTGGAAATGTTCTTCAAAGTCCGGTAAAACAGCATGATTCCCAAAATACAACTCATTTTCATTGAAAATTACATCTCTTGAAACGACCACTTTTCCTTTTTCTGGACTCCATAGTCTATACCCATTGTTGCAATACCCTATCATAATGCATTTCTTGGTCTTCGAGTCTAACTTCTTACGCAACTCCTTCGGAATATGGCGGTATGCAATCGAACCGAAAATTCTCAGATTGCTTACGTAAGGTTTTTTACCATACCATACTTCCGCAGGTGTCATTTCATTGAAATATACCGTCGGACTTCTATTTATTAAAAAAGCTGAACTTAAAACTGCTGCTGGCCAAAATTTCTTGGGCATATTAGAATCAATCAACATTGCCCTAGCTTTCTCTACAATTGTTCGCATAAAACGCTCTGCTTTACCATTTTGTTCTTGTGAATACGGAATAGCATAATCGATCGTAGTCCCGTTTTCTTTACAATAAATTTTAAATTCATTTGAAATATATTCTCGGCCGTTATCACACCTGAGCACAGAAATTTTCTTTTCAAACTGGGCCTGAGCCATTTGTGAGAATTCTTTGAAGCAACCAGATACTTCGCTCTTGTTTTTGATTACATATACCCAAACAAAATTCGAGTAATCATCAACAAAAATCACGAAATATTTTTCGCCGTTCATGCCCTGAGGTGATATTGGCCCCCCTACATCGGAGTGTACTATTTGTAAAACTCGTGCACTCTTACTCCGTGTTTTGAAAACTGATCTCGTTTGTTTACTAGCTATGCAAGATTCACAGAATGCGACCTTGCTGACTCGGACCTTTTCCAAGCCACTGACCAGATTGTTATGAATCAGCTTCTCTAAGTATGTGTTGCTGATATGGCCAAGTCTTTTACGCCATTTCATAGCTAATTCATTGTCAACTTCTACGACCAGAGCTTGATTCATAACAACCTCGAAATGAATTTTCTAAAGATTTTTCACATATCCCACACCAATTATCTCATTTTCACAGGATAGAGTTACTTCCTCATTTTCAAAAATTACTTTTATAATCGCCAAGTTCAGTTTTCTTACTGATAGGAGATTTTTCCTTAGTTTTGGGACTTGCAGAACGTTTTTTATGCAGCAATAGATTTTTTTATTCCCTACTTCACTCAACACATTTATATTTCCGATACCAACATCCTCAATGAACTCATTTTCTTTTGCTATGGCAATATGTATAGGTTCCTTTAGTAATGTTAGTTCACTAAATAAATCCTTTTGAAACACTAGATGATCAGAACCACCAGAATCGACATAGAATTCAATGCAATTTTTATTTTCACTCACTGCTTTTTCTGTTAAAAAGCAAATGCTGCCAACTGCGTCCTTGTCTGCATGGTAGCCTGATTTTTGATCTGAATTCTTCTTGTCGCCTTTTCCTTTGTTTGGTCCACTCCTTCCATTGTTGTGGCCGCTGTTGCTGTTGTTCTGCTGCTTAGGTGGTTTCTTACATTCTCGTTTCCAATGTCCAGGGATGCCGCAGTTGTGACACTTTCCCTTCCTTGTCGCCTGAAACGCCGTTGTTCCAGATTCGTCCTTTGTGCCCAAAGTCCTCTCGCCACCTCGTGATTCTTCTGCCGCGAGTCTCGCCACCAAATTCTGAAGAGTCTTCTCCCTCGCTTCTGTTGATTCCCAAGACGTGGCAAAGTACCTGAAACTTTCCGGGAGAGATACGAGCACTTTGGAGATTAACATGTTGTCGCTAATCCTGCATTCTGTCTGAGCCAGTTGATACGCCAAGTTCTGCAGTTTTCCGATTTGATCCACCAGTTTACTTCCTTTCGTCATCCTGAACCCATAAAACTCCTGAAGTAGGTTGCATCTCCTTTGTGCCGTATTTCTCTCGTAAAGCTCAAGCAACTTTGTCCACATCTGGAAACTCGTTGTCGCTGTCATGATGTGCGTCAAGATTCCCGTCTCCACAGTTTGGACGAGTATCTTCTGTGCCTGCACGTCCTTAAGATCCCGTTGGTGCGCTTCCTCTGCATTCGTTGATGATCTCGCTTGCCTCCCTTCCACAATGCTGAAGGCTTCCTTATCCTTAAGCAAGATCGTCACCTGAAACTTCCATATTTGAAAGTTGTTTCACCACGAAGTTTCTCGATTTTTATGAATGCCTTCTCCATCTTGGCTGCTATCCTGAGTTTGGCGCCCGTTCTCTGCTCCTGGACCTCACGTCAGATGTCCACCTGCTAGAACCGCCCAAAGCTCCCTCTGGATGCCTGCTGCCTCAGAGACGCTGTCCTGGAGTTGTGGATGTAACCTTTTTGAGTTCTTGTACCTCTGCTCGTAGCCTTTTCTGAGTCCTATAGTTCAATTTGCACCACCAAACCAAAATATAAGCCAGTACTAGTGCGATGATCAGTCCGTACAAGAAGTAGTTGTGATAGTCCACTGCAACCTCCTGCTCCACGATTTGAGTCTGAGTGTTGACGTTCTCCTTGGATTCTTTACTAGACGAGTCGAACCAGCCCATTGGATAAGTGACTTATAATTTCGGTTCGGTGCAAACTTGAACAAAGACAAAGATACCAGCTATTTGCAGAGTTACTTACTCACGATGACTGCAGTGACTGCTGTAGTGACTGGGCTCCATAACCTGTCAAGATGTATGGGCAGGAGAAAGGGGGAAAAGGACGGCACACACAGAATAACGCCAGTAAAATCGGCTTTTCATACTAACAAACTTTATTCACAAAACAGATACTTATATACAGGTAATTGTCCTCAGTCAACGCTCGCAGGCGAGGTGCATTCGTCAATATTGAAGAGTAAACATTAAACATAGAAAGGTCGTTCAACACTTATCAGTTGTTGCCATATTTCATGACAAAAAATAATTGTTCTTTTCCGTGATTCAAGTCGAAGATTCCAATTCTTTCGAAGGTAACCGAGGCATACGTTGTTTTGGGTTTCTTTGACTTTGTATTTATTTCCGAGGATCGGGGAGTCAGCCCTATGCCGTAACCCCCAGCCTGGAGGACCGGGGTTTGATTTCGGAGTTGCCTCTCCTAGACAGGTTGCTTTCACATCAGCTAAGAGCCCTGCCTACCCACCCCCCTTTGAGGCAGGGGCCACCAGCTGGGGTCCACAAGATTGCTGAACCTGTGACATTACAGTCCCCCATTTCGTAGCTCTGGAAATAAAATTAAGAAAAATGTCTATGGTAGTTTGATATTAATCTGTCTAGATTGAGAAAGCTCTAAAACCATGGACACCGTCATTCATTAAAGACTGATTCTACTGAGGTATTAACATTATTTTTAGAATTTCCAGAGATTCCTTTGGTACACAACTGTTAACATACCTGTTATCATCAGGCTGCAGCATTAGATATTGGCCATCTGATGACCGCCATTTGATGTTAGGACTAGATCCATCTTCAGCATGTGCTACGCAATCAAGCAAAACACTGTGACCTGGAGCGACGATAGCATCCTTTGGCTCTTCAATGAATTGTATACCTGCATCATGAACACCTATATTAGGGATAGCAAATTGGACTGAGTGGTTAAGTTAGAAAAGGTATTCCAGGAAAAAAGTGCAAAGTGCCATTCTAAATTGAAAGTTGATAGAAATGATGAGGCCTGAGCTTTTTTGCTTTAAGATTCCTTCATATCTCTGATTATTTTATGTTTTGGAAAGAAAACTAACCAAAATATCTCCTTGAAATCCTTCAGGGTTACTATCAAAGAGTAAAGAAAATTTAAGGCGAACTCCGAGAAAAATTGCTGCCCAGTTTTCATTTGAAAGGAAATTAAATATGAAGTAGACTCACAACACCGTAATGGAAATGCGCGTCAATCAACTTTGGCCATCTATCAACTTATTACTTCACCTTTAAGATGATTAGTCCTGGGTTCTTTGAGTCGTCAAACTGGCGTGAGCTTTATCAAATCGATTCAGTAAAAAATCTCAGCAGTTTTTCACATCTGAGACTTTGTCTCCACGGGCCATTTCACAGGATTTGTCCCTGGAAAAAATCCCACTTACATAGTTGGGAAAAGTATTGAGTTAATCAATATTTTTCCTAGTCCCAAGTATGGTCCTTGTACTCAAAGGACCCACCGAGAGAGGAAGAAGTGAAAACGAATTGTGCGATATTTTGTTGATTACTCCATTATTAATGTTTGTTTAGTTAAAATAATGTGTCTAATTGTCAATTGAGTGCAATTATTATTTTAAGCCGAGTTAAATACTCGACTTTAACTAATTTATCTACCCGCGCAAACTAGTCGCAGGACTGTAGGAGCCCCCTCCCGTGGAGACGGTAACTGGGAAAAATCCCAGAAGTTTCATTCCTGTGATACGAACTTGAGACAAATCCCATGAAATCGGCCCGTGGAGACTAGGTCTGAGCTAAAAAGAGGACAATACCACCTGGGCATGAGCCTAATGAATCATCCATGACAACTAAAGTTGCAAAATTCAGAGAAATGAGAATGGGATTTTCCTTGGAAAAATTTTTGCATTCCGATCACGCGAAGGATCCAGGACGATTCAACTGAATGTAAACATCGGTCATGCTATAAGCAAGGAGTATTCTGGTTTAAAAAGTGTATTTGTCTCACGAAACCGGAATTTTGATTCTGCAAGATAGACATTTTCACCTTGTTAACGAACTTACCTTTCACAGGGTAGAGAAAGATGAAAAGTAAATATTTCCGTATCATATCAAGGACTGGTGGTTAGTAGGTTTAGACGGATTGATGACTGACATGTGTCATAGGAAAAAATAACTTTGATGAGACAAAATAAACACGTTGATCACGGCAAATTCAGAACTGGTAATAGGTAAACAACTACAAATCAAAGTTTGTGCCACAACATTGGTGGTACATTATAATATTATGAAAACATTGGGAACTTGAGTTATCGGAATTTACTTAATAGAGTTGTATGAACCCATGGTTGGTAATTTACTAGGGTAAACTCATGCCCCGCACAATTAGACATGTTTATTGTTCTAACACAATAAAACTTCCCAGAGAAGAGAAAAATGTGCGAGCAGCTCCAATACCTCCCAGTCCCTAGCACGCAGCCAGCACGCAGCCATACAGCGACGTCCGATTGAGCGTTTTTGCAGGCAAAGACCCCCTACGATGTGCAGGCGATCACAGAGCGGGAGTAGCTGGTCGAGCGTGCGTGCAGCTCGCTCGGACTCCATGATTCTCCTCTGTTGCTCTCTCCTCTCCCCTACTCTTTGCTCCTAATGGCGCCAAGCACAAATTTCACTCGCGGAGAAAAATTAAACTGCTCAGCTCAGGGAATTGGCATTTTTGATTGAGATTAAATTTCTAAACGAGTCCAACCCAAGTCAACCAGGGTAATTCTCAAAATACTTTGGCAAGATATTTTTCTGATATAATTTAAGGATATAATATAATTATTGACATAATTATTATGATATAATTTATTTAAGGATTGAGGATGGAGAATCTTTAGAATTTATGGAGAAATCACAAGCTTGTGTGGGGGCCCCAGCGTTCTGAGGCATTGAAATTAATCTTAAACGTACCTATTTACATTTTGAATTTTGGTGGAAAATACGGGGGGGAGGGGGGCTTTAATTTATATCTGAGCCATGTATGTTTGATTAGAGGATTTACTTATT